CTGGTGGTGTTAAGTCCATGTTTGCTATGAGAAAGGTAGGATAGTGGTCAGTTGTTCTGTCATAGATTATACCAGATACAAGGGGAGCTGTTATGTTAGTCCATAAGTGATCCAGGGTAGTGACAGATGTTTGAGTGACTCGGGTGGGCTTGGTGATTGTGGGGATTAGCATACAGGAGTTCATGCTGTTAAGGAAATAGTCAACTTGAGAGCAATTTTATTGACCCAGGTCAATATTAAAGTCTCCTCCCAGAATGATGTGATTTTTGTTGAGATTGTTGTTTATGATAAGATTTCTCAGGTTATCTGAGAATGAAGCTATATTAGTATTGGGAAATCTGTAGATGGCTCTAATAGTCAAGGAGGATTTAAGGGGTTTAATTGTAAACTGAGCAAAAGTATATTCACAGTAGTCATCTCTATCACTAATGACACTGTTGCAGATGAAGGTATCTCGCCCCAGACTCTCTGGCCCCAGACATCACTCGGTACCCCTACTCAAATCTCTGAATATGTTAGATATTAAGTCACTGCACATTCTCTCATGTGTATTATACATATATAAAACGCTAAACTATAATGCCAATCCTGATCTTAAAAGCTTCATAGAAGGTTGTAACAGAACCCATGAGCACCACACCAGAAATAAATACAGTTTTGATATTCCTAGAGTACGTCTTAATCAAACTAGAAATGCTCTGCAAATCAAGGGGCCCAGAATGTGGAATGACCTTCCCAACCATGTTAAAGACTGTACCTCTCTCAACCAGTTTAAGATAAAAACTAAACACTACCTAATAAATTCCCTGTAATCTACCTCACTCCTCTATTGTCAACCCATGTCTGTTATTTTCTTTTTTTTTTTAATCAACACTGTTTGTCAACCTATTGTATTTGTGCTGCTTTTTCAGTCATGTTCCCCCTTTTTTATCTTTATTTGTATTTGTTCTCAACACTTTTTATTCTTTATGCTCAATTAGTATTAAGTTCTAGATATTAATGTTTTTCTTGCCCGAAACGCATTGCGTAATAGTGGCTTTAGGCATTGTATGTACTAGCTCTATCTATATATCAATCCATTAATGTAACATCACTTGTATGTATATACCTTACCTGAATAAACATCTGAATCTGAATCTGAATATCGTCAAAATGTTTACCAAGTGATCTAACATTTTGGTTGTAAACTGATAAGCAGGGACTATTTTGGAGTTTGTTTTTTGCCTGGTGTGCTGTGTAATACTTGCAATAATGATAATCAATGTGCTGGTTGGTGTGGATATGAGACAGAAGATTTAGACCAGGATCAATATCAGTGTGCATGGAAATGCAAAGGGGTCACGACACAATAAGACAAGCAATTACAGAAACAGTTAAATACTAAATCTGCTGTAAAAACAAAGTAATTATAGCAAAACACAAGAATAAAAGCAAATACATATACAATAGTGTCAAATAAGAAGTAAAATAAAGATCCCGTAGATAACCAGGAAGGATACAGAAGTTAGGTAAAAAGAAAAAACAAAAAGTCAGTAAAGACTGACAATATAAATGTAAAATAAAAAATAATTAGAAATATAATAATCATAAAGGAAAATGATCTTAAAGATAATTAGCTTAGTAATGGTTAGTTATAATCCTATAATTAGTATGAAGTTAAGAAAATAAAGTGAGCTCAAATAGTTAATTCCCCAAAAAATGACATATAAATCTAAATAAATCTATAAATGTAATCTAATATAAATCTAAATTTAAAAAGAAACAGGGTGAGATTATATTTATGAGTAAGATTTTACTATGATACTGAGGTAGATGCTTACATAAGCAATTATATTATTAATTAATTCCAATAAATGATTACTAAGAAACAAATTCCAAGTTACTTTAAATATAACAGGGTAATAAAGAAACCTGGGTTTAGTGACAAGGGGTTAATTAAGAACAAAAATTAGAGTAAAAAACATGAAATGTCAACAATAAAGATGACAAACTAAAAAAAAAAAACTTTGGAAAGGAGGCAGAGCTTAAGTACACTTAAGTAACAGATGAGACTACAATTTATATTCTGGTTATACAGCTGTTATCCCACAGTCATCCAGGAAAGAAGTGCGGTGTGCCTCAGTGGTTATGACATAAGTTTTTCCATGATAATATGATAAGAAAACGAGTGAAAACTCACTATAATGCGCTAATAAGGGTGGAAAGGTGGAGTCCAAGAACTAAAAGCTCGACATTGCATGCACAAATAGGTTAATATAAATAGGTAAATATAGAGGAGCACGTGTGTTTGGAAGATAAGTATGCGGGAGGCGGGAGGAAGGTAGCGGGACCCCGCCATTTGAATAAAGGTGTTCCCGCGCTCCGGCATCAACCGCTTCTTCCTCCACCACTGATGAAACACATGATGAAAGATTATTGATGTGTGGGTGATAAGATATGTATGTGAAAGTATATATGTATACGTATATATATATATGTACATGTATGTATGAGAGTGTGTACATGTGTATATAACATTAATAATTTTGTAACTAGCGTCAAAAATTTTTATTTGCTTAGCTAAACGAACTAGAGGGTTCAGTTCCTGAACCGATTATGTGCCTCTGTAATCCTTTACACCACCGCCCACGGGATGGGTATGGGGTGCATAATAAAGAAAGAAATTGAATTCCACCACTGATGAAACACACGAGGCTTCATGCACCGCCCCTTCCCCTCCCTGGTCTCACGCGCTCCTTAATTTGTTACCATTTACTTCATCGCCTTTGGGAACCAATATTTTTTACAGCAATGATTAATAAAAATAATAATACAATGAAAATACTAATAACAATGAAATAATAATAGTAATAATTATAAAGTAATAGTAGTAATAATTATTAAATAATACAACTTCCCAACAAATACAATACTTCCCAACCATGTTAAAGACTGTACCTCTCTCAACCAGTTTAAGATAAAAACGAAGCACTACCTAATAAATTCCCTGTAACCTACCTTACCCCTCTATTGTCAACCCATGTCTGTTTTTTTTTAAACAACGCTGTTTGTCGACCTAATTGTATTTGTGCTGCTTTTTCAGCCATGTTCCCCCCTTTTTATCTCTATTTTTATTTGTTCTCAACACATTTTATTCTTTATACTCAATTAGTATTAAGCTTTAGTCATTAATGTTTTTCATGCCTGAAACGCTTTGCGTAATAGTGGCTTTAGGCATTGTATGTACTAGCTCAATCTATAAATCCATAAATCTTTGTAAAATCTCTTGTATGTATGTACCTTACCTAAATAAACATTTATTTATTTGTTTATTTATTTTATTTATTTATTAAATAGCTAATTAATAACTTATTAACTAAATAAAATATAAGAAATGAAGTGTATAAATAATATAAGATAAAATATAAGAAGTGTGCACACACACACACACACACACACACACACACACACACACACACACACACACACACACACACACACACACACACACACACACACACACACACACACACACACACACACACACACACACACACACACGTCGCTCCTTGCCCCAAATTTGCTCTCTCCCATCACATATCATCCAAACACTGAACAACTCATAACAACTGTGAACGTACAAAAATGAAATATTAAAATAAAGTTTTGTACCATTAAATTTGTAGAGACAGAAAGCAACAACAAAACCTAGATTTTTTCAGGCCTGGGATAGCGCATGTTCCAAATTGGGCCTAATTGCTTATTTATACCTACGACATGTTGGGTAAAGTTGAATAGCTACTGTTCCCGTTTTTGGCATGCCCTTTGTGGGGCATGTTCATTTTTGTGCGTCCCACCAGTAGTTGTAAGTACAGTACTATACTTTTTGGAAGGAGCTGTTCAGTCGACTGGTGAACAAGTTTCCGGACATTTAGGGTTGTTGTTGTTGATGTTTCAGATTTAGCTACTCAGAACGGGGTGTCCATGTAGCACGGGCTATGGTGAGCACGCAAAACATTTGGGGTTGTCATATTTATATTACACCGTGGAGAGGTGAGGCGGCGCCCCTGCTGCCTCTCCTGCGCTCTTCCCGCACGCAGTATGGTATTATAATGTGTCCTTGGCTCGTATAGTGCTCCTGGCTCGTATAGTGCCCCTGGCTCGTATAGTGCCCCCTGGCTCGTATAGTGCCCCCTGGCTCGTATAGTGCCCCTGGCTTGTATAGTGTCCCAGGCTTATATAGTGCTCCTGGCTCGTATAGTGCTCCTGGCTCGTATAGTGTCCCTGGCTCGTATAGTGCCCCCTGGCTCGTATAGTGCTCCTGGCTCGTATAGTGCCCCCTGGCTCGTATAGTGTCCCAAGCTCGTATAGTGCCCCTGGCTCGTATAGTGCCCCTGGCTCGTATAGTGTCCCTGGCTCGTAAAGTGTCCCTGGCTCGTATAGTGTCCCTGGCTCGTATAGTGTCCCTGGCTCGTATAGTGCCCCTGGTTCGTATAGTGTCCCTGGCTCGTATAGTGTCCCTGGCTCGTAGAGTGTCCCTGGCTCGTATAGTGTCCCTGGCTCGTATAATGTCCCTGGCTCGTATAATGTCCCTGGCTCGTATAGTGTCCCTGGCTCGTATAGTGTCCCTGGCTCGTATAGTGTCCCTGGCTCGTTTAATGTCCCTGGCTCGTATAGTGTCCCTGGTTCGTATAGTGCCCCTGGCTCGTATAGTGTCCCTGGCTCGTATTGTGCCCCTGGCTCGTATTGTGCTCCTGGCTCGTATATTGCCCCTGGCTCGTATAGTGCCCCTGGCTCGTATTGTGTCCCCTGGCTCGTATAGTGTCCCTGGCTCGTATAGTGCCCCTGGCTCGTATAGTGTCCCTGGCTCGTATAGTGCCCCCTGGCTCGTATAGTGTCCCTGGCTCGTATAGTGCCCCTGCCTCGTATAGTGCCCCCTGGCTCGTATTGTGCCCCTGGCTCGTATAGTGTCCCTGGCTCGTATAGTGTCCCTGGCTCGTATAGTGCCCCTGGCTCGTATAATGTCCCTGGCTCGTATAGTGCCTCTGGCTCGTATAGTGTCCCTGGCTCGTATTGTGCCCCTGGCTCGTATAGTGCCCCTGGCTCGAATAGTGCCCCTGGTTCGTATAGTGCCCCTGGCTCGTATTGTGCCCCTGCCTCATATTGTGCCCCTGGCTCGTATAGTGTCCCTGGCTCGTATTGTGCCCCTGGCTCGTACTGTGCCCCTGGCTCGTATAGTGCCCCTGGCTCGTATAGTTCCCCTGGCTCGTATTGTGCCCCTGGCTCGTATAGTGTCCCTGGCTCGTATTGTGCCCCTGGCTCGTATTGTGCCCCTGGCTGGTGTAGTGTCCCTGGCTCATATTGTGCCCCTGGCTCGTATTGTGCCCCTGGCTCGTATAGTGCCCCTGGCTCGTATAGTTCCCCTTGCTCCTATTGTGCCCCTGGCTAGTATAGTGTCCCTGGCTCGTATTGTGCCCCTGGCTCGTATTGTGCCCCTGGTTCGTATAGTGCCCCTGGCTCGTATAGTTCCCCTGGCTCGTATTGTGCCCCTGGCTCGTATAGTGCCCCTGGCTCGTATAGTGTCCCTGGCTCGTATAGTGCCCCTGGCTCGTATAATGTCCCTGGCTCGTATAGTGCCTCTGGCTCGTATAGTGTCCCTGGCTCGTATTGTGCCCCTGGCTCGTATAGTGCCCCTGGCTCGAATAGTGCCCCTGGTTCGTATAGTGCCCCTGGCTCGTATTGTGCCCCTGGCTCGTATAGTGCCCCTGGCTCGTATAGTTCCCCTGGCTCGTATTGTGCCCCTGGCTCGTATAGTGTCCCTGGCTCATATTGTGCCCCTGGCTTGTATTGTGCCCCTGGCTCGTATAGTGCCCCTGGCTCGTATAGTTCCCCTGGCTCGTATTGTGCCCCTGGCTCGTATAGTGTCCCTGGCTCGTATAGTGTCCCTGGCTCGTATAGTGCCCCTGGCTCGTATAATGTCCCTGGCTCGTATAGTGCCTCTGGCTCGTATAGTGTCCCTGGCTCGTATTGTGCCCCTGGCTCGTATAGTGCCCCTGGCTCGAATAGTGCCCCTGGTTCGTATAGTGCCCCTGGCTCGTATTGTGCCCCTGCCTCATATTGTGCCCCTGGCTCGTATAGTGTCCCTGGCTCGTATTGTGCCCCTGGCTCGTACTGTGCCCCTGGCTCGTATAGTGCCCCTGGCTCGTATAGTTCCCCTGGCTCGTATTGTGCCCCTGGCTCGTATAGTGTCCCTGGCTCGTATTGTGCCCCTGGCTCGTATTGTGCCCCTGGCTGGTGTAGTGTCCCTGGCTCATATTGTGCCCCTGGCTCGTATTGTGCCCCTGGCTCGTATAGTGCCCCTGGCTCGTATAGTTCCCCTTGCTCATATTGTGCCCCTGGCTAGTATAGTGTCCCTGGCTCGTATTGTGCCCCTGGCTCGTATTGTGCCCCTGGTTCGTATAGTGCCCCTGGCTCGTATAGTTCCCCTGGCTCGTATTGTGCCCCTGGCTCGTATAGTGTCCCTGGCTCGTATTGTGCCCCTGGCTCGTATTGTGCCCCTGGCTCGTATAGTGCCCCTGGCTCGTATAGTTCCCCTGGCTCGTATTGTGCCCCTGGCTCGTATAGTGTCCCTGGCTCATATTGTGCCCCTGGCTTGTATTGTGCCCCTGGCTCGTATAGTGCCCCTGGCTCGTATAGTTCCCCTGGCTCGTATTGTGCCCCTGGCTCGTATTGTGCCCCCTGGCTCGTATTGTGCTCATGGCTCGTATAGTGCCCCTGGCTCGTATAGTGCCCCTGGCTCGTATAGTGCCCCTGGCTTGTATTGTGTCCCCTGGCTCGTATAGTGTCCCTGGCTCGTATAGTGCCCCCTGGCCCGTATAGTGTCCCTGGCTCGTATAGTGCCCCCTGGTTCGTATATTGTCCCTGGCTCGTATAGTGCCCCCTGATCGTATTGTGCCCCCTGGCTCGTTTTGTGCCCCTGGCTCGTATTGTGCCCCTGGCTCGTTTTGTGCCCCTGGCTCGTTTTGTGCCCCCTGGCTCGTATTGTGCCCCTGGCTCGTATTGTGCCCCTGGCTCGTTTTGTGCCCCTGGCTCGTATTGTGCCCCTGGCTCGTTTTGTGCCCTTGGCTCGTATTGTACCCCTGGCTCGTATAGTGCCCCTGGCTCGTATTGTGCCCTCTGGCTCGTATTGTGCCCCCTGGCTCGTATTGTGCTCCTGGCTCGTATTGTGTCCCCTTGCTAGTATAGTGTCCCTGGCTCGTATAGTGCCCCTGGCTCGTATAGTGCCCCTGGCTCGTATAGTGTCCCTGGCTCGTATAGTGCCCCTGGCTCGTATTGTGCCCCCTGGCTCGTTTTGTGCCCCTGGCTCGTATTGTGTCCCTGACTCGTATAGTGTCCCTGGCTCGTATTGTGTCCCCTGGCTCGTATAGTGCCCCTGGCTCGTATAGTGTCCCTGACTCGTATAGTGCCCCTGGCTCGTATAGTGCCCCTGGCTCGTATAGTGCCCCTGGCTCGTATTGTGTCCCCTGGCTCGTATAGTGCCCCTGACTCGTATAGTGCCCCTGGCTAGTATAGTGCCCCTGGCTCGTATAGTGCCCCTAGCTCGTATTGTGTCCCCTGGCTCGTATAGTGCCCCTGGCTCGTATAGTGCCCCTGGCTCGTATAGTTCCCCTGGCTCGTATTGTGCTCCTGGCTCGTATAGTGCCCCTGGCTTGTATAGTGCCCCTGGCTCGTATAGTGCCCCCTGGCTCGTATAGTGCCCCCTGGCTCGTATTGTGTCCCCTGGCTCGTATAGTGTCCCTGGCTCGTATAGTGCCCCTGGCTCGTATAGTGTCAGTGGCTCGTATAGTGCCCCCTGGCTCGTTTTGTGCCCCTGGCTCGTATTGTTCCCCTGGCTCGTTTTGTGCCCTTGGCTCGTATTGTGCCCCTGGCTCGTATAGTGCCCCTGGCTCGTATTTTGCCCCCTGGCTCGTATAATGCCCCTGGCTCGTATAGTGCCCCTGGCTCGTATTGTGCCCCCTGGCTTGTATTGTGCCCCTGGCTCGTATAGTGCCCCTGGCTCGTATTGCGCCCCCTGGCTCGTATTGTGCCCCCTGGCTCGCATAGTACCCCTGGCCTGTATAGTGCCCCCTGGCTCGTATAGTGCCCCTGGCTCGTATTGTGCCCCCTGGCTCGTATAGTGTCCCTGGCTCGTATAGTGCCCCTGGCTCGTATAGTGCCCCATGGCTCGTATAGTGTCCCTGGCTCGTATAGTGCCCCTGGCTCGTATAGTGCCCCTGGCTCGTATAGTGCCCCTGGCTCGTATAGTGCCCCTGGCTCGTATTGTGCCCCTTGCTCATATTGTGCTCCTGGCTCGTATAGTGTCCCTGGCTCATATTGTGCCCCTGGCTCGTATTGTGCCCCTGGCTCGTATAGTGCCCCTGGCTCGTATAGTTCCCCTGGCTCGTATTGTGCCCTTGGCTCGTATAGTGTCCCTGGCTCATATTGTGCCCCTGGCTCGTATTTTGCCCCTGGCTCGTATAGTGCCCCTGGCTCGTATAGTTCGCCTGGCTCGTATTGTGCCCCCTGGCTCGTATTGTGCTCCTGGCTCGTATAGTGCCCCTGGCTCGTATAGTGCCCCTGGCTCGTATTGTGCCCCCTGGCTCGTATTGTGCTCCTGGCTCGTATAGTGCCCCTGGCTCGTATAGTGCCCCTGGCTCGTATTGTGTCCCCTGGCTCGTATTGTGCCCCCTGGCTCGTATTGTGCTCCTGGCTCGTATAGTGCTCCTTGGCTCGTATAGTTCCCCCTGGTTCGTATAGTGCCCCTGGCTCGTATAGTGCCCCCTGGCTCGTATAGTGTCCCTGGCTCGTATAGTGCCCCCTGGCTCGTATAGTGTCCCTGGCTCGTATAGTGCCCCCTGGCTCGTATTGTGCCCCCTGGCTCGTTTTGTGCCCCTGGCTCGTTTTGTGCCCCTGGCTCGTATAGTGCCCCCTGGCTCGTATAGTGCCCCCTGGCTCGTATAGTGCCCCCTGGCTCGTATTGTGCCCCCTGGCTCGTATTGTGCTCCTGGCTCGTATAGTGCCCCTGGCTCGTATAGTGCCCCCTGGCTCGTATAGTGCCCCCTGGCTCGTATAGTGCCCCCTGGCTCGTATAGTGCCCCCTGGCTCGTGTAGTTCCCCCTGGCTCGTATAGTGCCCCCTGGCTCGTATAGTGCCCCCTGGCTCGTATAGTGCCCCCTGGCTCATATAGTGCCCCCTGGCTCGTATAGTGCCCCCTGGCTCGTATAGTGCCCCCTGGCTCGTATAGTGCCCCCTGGCTCGTATAGTTCCCCCTGGCTCATATAGTGCCCCCTGGCTCGTATAGTGCCCCCTGGCTCGTATAGTGCCCCCTGGCTCGTATAGTGCCCCCTGGCTCGTATAGTGCCCCCTGGCTCGTATAGTGCCCCCCTGGCTTGTATAGTGCCCCTGGCTCGTATAGTGCCCCCTGGCTCGTATAGTGCCCCCTGGCTCGTATAGTGCCCCCTGGCTCGTATAGTGCCCCCCTGGCTCGTATAGTGCCCCCTGGCTCGTATAGTGCCCCCTGGCTCGTATAGTGCCCCCCTGGCTCGTATAGTGCCCCCTGGCTCGTATAGTGCCCCCTGGCTCGTATAGTGCCCCCTGGCTCGTATAGTGCCCCCTGGCTCGTATAGTGCCCCCTGGCTCGTATAGTGCCCCCTGGCTCGTATAGTGCCCCCTGGCTCGTATAGTGCCCCCTGGCTCGTATAGTGCCCCCTGGCTCGTATAGTGCCCCCTGGCTCGTATAGTTCCCCCTGGCTCGTATAGTGCCCCCTGGCTCGTATAGTGCCCCCTGGCTCGTATAGTGCCCCCTGGCTCGTATAGTGCCCCTGGCTCAATATACTGTTTATGGGATGTTCTGTTCCCTCACGAGTGACGGATTTCTTGATCATTCTGCTTTTTATAGTATATACGTGCTCTCGTTATGGACTAATATCACTAGTTTTTCTATTATGTGCGTTTTTTTGGTATATATTTTTTTATATGTTCTGGGGATTTTGGTATTTGCTTTTTTATATGTTGGGTTTTATAGTTTTTGCAGGATTTTGGTGTATTTTGGCTCTTCTGTATGGTGCCGGCTTTTGATATGTGCTGAGTTTTCAGAAAGGTGTTGTTTTCATTGTGGGGCGTGCGCTGGTTAAAGGAAAAAGGGATGTTATTCTAGGTCTTGTACAGGTCGCTCCTTGAGTCAGGTTTAGCAACTCAGTATTGGGTCAGGCGATCACAGCAAGCCACCTAAGATCATTTTGTCCCCGCCACAGCACACCCAGATGGCAACACGGCAAAATTCCTCCTTCTCTTTCTTCTCTTCTCTTCTCTTGTCCTCTCTCTCTCTCTCTCTCTCTCTCTCTCTCTCTCTCTCTCTCTCTCTCTCTCTCTCTCTACTTTTTTTTTTTAACTCGGGTTCATAGAGCTTTAAAATGAAACTACCAGGAAGAGCTGTAATCCTGCTTCAGGATTACAGCTGAAACCTACTCCAAGAGACCCATTTATTTCATGTACCTATTATATGCATCAATAGGAATAAGCCTTATTCATTAACAACATTCGGTAACACTCATATTAGGAAGAGGATGAGCCTGTAGCCAACTGTGTGCCAGAGCCTTCATGTGATCAGTTGACCTGATCTCCCGTGTATCACCCTGTTGAGCGAACAAGTTCCAGATGCGAGTCAGTCTAGGAGTGAATGATCGCTGACGGAGTGAAGTTCTTGAAAAAGACACTTCCAGCATGAGACTGTTGAAGGTTGAAAGCTTAGTGCTACGGGTGCCAACTATTGGTTGTCCACGGAGTAGAGCCAGGTGCGGAACTTTGAGAATGTTGGCCTTGCACATAACAGTAAGATCACCTACGTCCCGACGGTGTTGCAGGCTCTGATGATCAGACCGTTCCCACCAGACTTGGTCAAGACTAGAGCCTTCTTGCACGGTTCTCCACTTTGTCTAAAAGTCTGATGAATGATGGGGACCTGGTGATCCAGGAGAGCGGTCCATACTCTAGATGAGAGGGAACTTGTGCTTCATATAAGGTTTTGCAGCCGCTGCTGACCCGAAGGTGGGAGAGGCGCCGTAGGACAGGAAGTTTCCTGGCTGCCTTTTGGGCCAGGTAAAGCACGTGGCTCTTCATTGTTATTGAAGAGTCCTACTTCATTCCCAAGATGTCAATTTTGTCGGTCAACTCCAGGGTTTGGCCGCCCACATTTGCCAGCCTGTCCGACCTGACATGTACAGTCTATTTATCATCATCGCTGGTGTCTTCTCAGCCACAAAATAGGACCCCCCCCCCCCCCCCCCTCTCTCTCTCTCTCTCTCTCTCTCTCTCTCTCTCTCTCTCTCTCTCTCTCTCTCTCTCTCTCTCTCTCTCTCTCTCTCTCTCTCTCTCTCTCTCTCTCCCAAGATTTATTGTCTTCCTATCTTTAGTTGTGTGTGTGTGTGTGTGTGTGTGTGCTTGGCTGTAGTTCTCATCTCCTTGTTCTCACGAAGGCTCTTAGCTGCCGCTTTGAGCTCGGGGGACAGTATGGTGCTTCTGTAATTGCCTCGATTCTTTCCCCCTTCCGTTCTAGTCAACAACGGCTTCTCCGTTGTTGACTACTTCTTCTCTTAAGTTGTGTAGCTACTCTTCCCGTTTTTGGCATGCCCTTTGTGGGGCATGTTCATTTTTGTGCATCCCACCAGTAGTTGTAAGTACAGTACTATACTTTTTGGAAGGAGCTGTTCAGTCGACTGGTGAACAAGTTTCCGAATATTTGGGTTGTTGTGTCATTTATATTACACCGTGGAGAGGTGTGGCGGCGCCCCTGCTGCCTCTCCTG